TCCATTATTCATAGCCAAGGTCGTGGTCTTAGAACGGTCATGGGTCGCCCCTCCTCCTCGAGGAGAAGAAGGGGTAGACGAGGAGTCAGTCATCACGGGCATCGGTCCAAGTCCGACCCCTGGGCCCTTGCCCGTTGTCCTGAAGGGACCAATAAACCCCTTAATTATTGGTAATCAACCTAACAGCAATAGCTATGAGAGTGTAGCAGTTAAACGTCCTCTACCCCCCCAGTGGAAGCCTGGTTGCGTTCTCCAGTACCACAGAGGGATCGAGTTATGTGGAGGACACTTTCCTACCGCCGAACTTGCCGAAGCGAAGGACGGTAAGTCTATGCCCACCCCCCAAGCGAATACGGGAGCCCACAAGGGAACTCCGGTAGGCTCAGGGAAGTCACATGAAGATAAGAAGAGAAATGAGGGAGAGAAAAAGTGCGCCCAAAGGACGCCCCAGACTACTGGGCCTCACTACCCAGGGGTCAAAGCCCGTAAGGGCTACCCTGGTGTAGAAGAGAGCTGCGGGTCTGAGGTGGGGTGCTACCTACGACTACTAACTATCTACGCCTCGTGCGACCTGTAAAATACTAGGCACTGAAGGTGCAGTCAAGGCACAAAGTGCAGCAAACTGTAAAGACAGATGTTATTTCTTTACGTTACTTTAAAAGAACTCAGGAACAACAGTGATGAGCGAGACGAGAGGCCCCAGAAACCAGGGTAGCTCAAGTGGCACACGACATTTGCTCTGTTGCTACTGCGTTAGAAAGGTGGTCTGAGTCATCCAATGTCTCATACACGAGTGAATGGTGATTTTTTTTTTTTTTTTTTTTTTTCCCTTTCCTCAACCACTACTATATATACCCCGAAAGAAACCCCCAGGCCAAGCCCCAGGCATGGTGCGAAAGAAGGAAATAGGCAAATGAAGTGCCCGAAGACCAAGCCGATAGTTCGACAATCCAAACAACCGAGACGAGAGAGGGAAGGGGAAAAACAAAAAAGAAGCTGGGTAACGACCATCACCTCCTTCGGTGGTTATCGCGACAATTTGGAGACGTCGGCAAGAGGAAAGAACATTAGTAAAAAATAAATAAAGGAAAGGATACGGAGAAAATCCGATAATGCACAGTTGTGGTAAGAACTGCATTTCGGCCATAACATATTTACAATAATTAGGTTTAAAAATAAATAAATAGCTGTTTTAGCTTGGCGACTTCAACGCCATAAAAGTAGTGAGACTTGGTTAGAATTACGTTCATGGTTATAAAAATAACCAAGTTCACATTATCACTACAGTCCTTCTTGACTGATGGTTGAACGTAAAAATAAAATAAATAAATGAATAAGAAAGCCTGCGGGACTCAGTCGCAGGTGAAAAAAAATACGTCTGCGGGATGTAACCGCACGTGGCACACGGCGGGGACTTCGTCTCTGGCGGCTCGTGATGCGTTGGCCGAGGTTCATGGAGATGACATCATCCTTAGAGTCGGGACGGACGCAGCCGTACACTACAATAATGATAATAATAATTAACAGTAGTAGTAGTAGTTGTAGTATCATAATTGTTAGTGGTATTATCACTATCGTTATGATTATTATTATTCTATTATTTTACTATTATATTAGCATTTTATTGCTACTACTATTATTATAACAACAACAGCAATAATAATAATAACATTAACAATAGTAATAACGATATTAATAATGAGTATCATTATTATTATTATTTCTACTATCATCATTATCACCATTGTTATTGTTATTATCATTACTGTCATTGATACCATTGTTATTATCATTATCATAACCCTTATCATCATCATCATCGTCATCATCATCATCATCATCATCATAATTGCGGTTTATATTATCAATATTATCATTATCATTATTGTTACTGTTAATATTATTATCATTATTATCACTGTTATTATAATCATTTTAATTTTATCATTATTGCAATCATTATTTTTGTTATCATTATTATTATTTTTACTATTATCATCCTTATTTTTTTCTATTTTCATCATTATTTTTCTATTATCATTATTATTATTACTATCATTATCATTATCATTATTGTTATTATCATTATCTTCACTATTAATATTATCATTATTATTATCACCATTGATATTTTTCAAAACTGGTAACAAAAAAAAATATAATGCTTTTTATCACCATCATCATTATGTTACTAAGGCTAGGAGTCACCCATCACAGTGAAACTTGAGTATCGTATATATATATATATATATATATATATATATATATATATATATATATATATATATATATATGTATATAAAGAGAGAGAGAGAGAGAGAGAGAGAGAGAGACTGAAACATTTAATGGAAAATTTGGGAAATTTAAGAGCGGTGTGTGTGGGGGGGGAGACACGTAGTAGGTAAAAGAAATTATCCAGTTGTCTGACAGATGAATGAAAGAGAGAAAAGGGGAGAATTGTGATGAGAGATAAGGGAGGGGGCGAGGAGGAGGGTGATAGGAGTAAGAAAAAGGAATGAAGATAGGGAGTCGCAGGGGTCGCCTGTACAGAGGTAGACTGATCAATATGGGGCTGTTGGTTTTAGAGGAAGGAAGCGTTTGATCGAAAGCGAGGGGGAAGTGATGCGCAGAGACAGAGCAGGGAGAGAAAGGGAAAAGGGAAAGAGAAAAGATATGGAAAACAAAAGAAGCAGGCAGGAAGAGATCTCTCGTTGTACTCACTCTCTCTGTCACACGTACAAACCGCATACACACACAATAAGTGATAATAATAATGATAAATTAATTAAAATAGAAATGCAGAAATAGAATAAGCTATTTGATAAAAAAAAAAAAAAAAAAATCAAAATACACATTAACTAAGGACAGATACAATACTACATCATCTTGTCCTGGAAAGCCACAACATGCTTTTTTTTTTTTTTTTTTTTTTGTCTTTTGCAAGGCTGGTAAATTTCCTTGATCCGTATATTAAAAATTAAAGGGAAAATGCAATTTTCTTGAGAGGAACAGTAAGCAATCCTAGAAAAGGTTTTGGCTTAAAGTTTAATTAAAGTGGTGACTTCGAAACGCCCTATTCGCACAAGAATACTTACTTCTAAGCTATTTTGCGTTAGGCGGTAATCATAAAAAAAAAATGAAATGCGTTTGGAGTATTTTCTCTATTACTATACTATTCCATCCCTTTACGTTGACCTCTGCTCCCCTGGCGGGTTACCAAAGTCGATCGTTTTCAACTGGCCGGACCTGGAATCGGGTACTAAAAATACCCTGAAAGTTAGGCGCAAAGCCCGGGTAAGACGCCGTAAGGATAATGATCAGTCCGATATGCGAAGCTAAGCTTCGCTCGGGCTTTACTGTGGCTGAGCACGTTACTACTGCGCTAGCTTGAAGCTAAGGCGCCGTAGCGCGGCTTTAGCTTATACACAAATGTTTTTTTAGGCGCCGTATCCTTGCCAATCACATATACTGTTTTAGACGGCTCTTAGATAATCATAACCAGTTACAAGATATAAGTGCTCAACAGCCTGTGACATAATGAAACTTTTAACTAATATTTCCAGAATATGCAAAACAGGAGAAATGTATTAGACACACACACACACACACACACACACACACAAAAAAAAAAGCTCCAGCTTCGCTCACTCTCGGCCCATGTAAATGCTTCAAAATAGTCAGAACTAATAAAAAAAAGCGGCTCACCATCTTGTTAATGTCTCTTGTAGAGTTACTTACACAGTAAATGACTAATCCATAAATCTCTATAGATCCCATCAACCCTAAAAAATACTTACCACACCCTATGATACCTCCTTTTTGATGGAATGCTTGAGTATCATAAACTATGGGATGGAATATTGTCTCCTCGAGAGAATGGCTAATATTACAAGGGCAGTTTTAGCATACTTTGAATTTCCTATCTATTGCCAGTTTAACAGATAATACTAACAATAAATTATGAAGGCTTAACCCACTACGACTGCCATGATTCGTATCAATATAGCAGGTCCCGTGCTTCATGTATGGGCCGCAGGAACACTCGGCCATAAGCTACGGCGCCGTAAAGTGTTTGTCTATCCGGCCCGAATGTTCTTTATGCGCATTTATATCCTGCTCGACATTAAAATATCCCTTTGTACAGTTCTCAGGAGATCCTGTGCAGCGGCATCGAGGTTTATATGATGTTCTACACAAATGCTCAACACTTGCGTCTTATTTTGTCAACAGCTGTATTCAGCTTCTGCGGTAAAGATGCTGTGCTGGAAATCCAATCACGAAATAGCTATAACATCTGTTGCATACGACTATATCTATAGACATATATTTCTCTCTCTCTCTCTCTCTCTCTCTCTCTCTCTCTCTCTCTCTCTCTCTCTCTCTCTCTCTCCTCTATATATATATATATATATATATATATATTATATATACACACACACACACACACACACACACACACACACACACACACACACACACACACACACACACACACACACACACACCATGTACATATATAGCTATATATATGTATCTCCATCTACTGTATTACTCTTTTTCTCTGTACCTCTCAGCCTGTCTGTATGTCTGTCAATCTCTCTATATCTCTTTCTATATATATATATATATATATATATATATATATATATATATATATATATATATATATATATATATGTATATTATGTATGTTTATATGTATATATATATAATATATATAAATAAATAAATAAATAATATATATATATATATATATATATATATATATATATATATATATATATATATATATATATATGATTAAGTGTGTACGCACACTCAGGACGAGTGTGCGTACACACTTAATCATAGTAGCCTGATCTTATAGTCCCTGGTTCTTCCGCACCCTATAACGGTTCCAATCCTGTCCCAGCAAAGCGGTCGGGTACTGGATACGTACTGTCTGTCCCACATGTAACTTGGGCAGTCTGACTTGCTCGGCTCAGGTGGCTGCTCAGCGGTCAGTCTCCGGATTTCTCCTGCGATTCCTGTGAGAAGGACTCTGGGAGGGCCAGAACGTAGGGACAAAGCGGGCGTCCGTAGAGAATCTGCGCTGGTGATCTTCCTGTGGCATTAGGGATGTTGCGCAGTTCGAGGAGGCCTCTGTCGAAGTCTTCGTTGTCAATGTTGCCGGATGGCGCTGTCTTCATGATGAGGTACTTGGTCGACTTGACGGCCGCTTTTGCATGGCTGAACTGAGAACTGAGGTCCACCGTCTGTCCTCAGGCGGAGTGGAATACCAACGTCACGAAAATAGTGGCAGAATATGCGTGTGGTGCATGATGCTGTAGACGAGGTACCACAAGGGAAGACGACGGGCCAGCCGGAGAGACGGTCTGCAATCACAACGAAGGATTTCCATGCTACTGTGAAGAAATCGGCTGATACCGACTCGAAAGGTCTCGTAGGATGGTCGTCGTTCTGCATGGGTTCCTGTTGTTGGCTGGGTTGCACGACCTGACACGGCTGGCAGGCTTCTACTGTGCTCTTGATGTCAATGTCTATTCCAGGCCAAAATACAGTCTGCCGTGCCCGACGTTTCATCGCCTCTATGCCGCGGTGGCTGGCGTGGAGTTGGATGAGTGTGCATCGGCGGTAGACAGTAGGTATGACGATTCGTTGGCCATACAGAACCAGCTCCCCGTCGGCAGAGAGGCTGTCTCGGATTTTCCAGTAGGGGAGCAGCGATTTGTGCAGGTCGTATCGATTGGAAGGGAAACCAGTAGTCATGCCATCCTTGAGACAGGCGTATTCGGTGTCGACACTTGCTTTGCGTAGCTCTTGCAGGGTTCTGTCGGCATCTTGATTCTTGGGGTCAGTTATGGTGCCGATGGTGTTGCAAGTCACTATACTCCTCAGGTGGGTTGCTGTGTCATTGCAGAGATTCTCGTCCTCTGATGTGGGCCATCCGGAATACCGAGCTGTTTCCCAGCACCCCATACAGCTATGAACTGGGAGGGTGAGATGTGGCCCTTTAGGTGTTGAAGGCGAGGGTTCTCTACTGCATCTAATGTGTACTTGTTTAGGATCAGTATCAGTGGCCTGTGGTCGGTCATTAAGATGAAGTTTGGGACTCCAATCAGGTAAGATTTGCATTTGGCAGTGACCCAGACGTCGGCGAGCATCTCCAATTTGGTTAAGAAGCGAGAGCCACACCGAACGAGGTGTAACATCGCTGGCCATGATCCTGTAATAGGGCATAGCCGATACGGTAGAGTCGAGAGGCGTCTGTTTGTAGCACGATTGGCTAGAACAAGTGGGTGCGACAGGGCTTTTTTGACGTGTTGGAAGGCCTCGTCATAGTCGGCTGTCCATACGAATGTGCATTTTGGGCTCAGCAAGGGGTGGGGTGTTTGGGCAGTAGCCGCGATGCTTCGGGTGAATTCCGACAGCTGGTTCACCAGGCCCATGAAGGAACCCAGGTCGGTTACATTTGCAGCTGTGGGAAAATCACAGATGGCGCTGACTTTGTCCTAGTCCGCTTCTATGCCCTTGTCTGAGATGGTGTAACCACAGAAGCTTACACTAAGGGCGGCGATCACGAATTTGTCTCGGTTGAGAGTGATCCCGTTCTTGTGACACCTACAAAGCATCTGGTCGACTTGCTGGATGAGGGTCTTGAAGTCGTCGTCATAGAGGAGAATGTCGTCCACCACCTTGATGCACCTCTGCATTCCCTGGAGAGCTATGTCTCCTTAACAGCAGTAAACATCTCCAGTAGCTGAGAAGCCCATGGGACCTCGACGGTGCTTGTATCTTCCATACGGCAAGATAAAGGTTGTCAAGTGTTGGTCCTCCTCGGCGAGTTCATGTTGCCAATATCCGTACAGGGCGTCTGTTGTCGTGAAGTACTGTGATGACAGGGTAACTCGGTAACTAATATTTTCTTGCAGCAGACGGTGTTGGTAGGTCAGGGAGGTGTGACTCGGCACACCTGTGGCATGTTTGACCTCCATTATCGGCTTCGGAAACTGGGGAGAAACGATGGCTAACTCCTGGCAGTGCCTGTAAGAGAGGAGGGGAGTCGTGACACCATCATGGACTTGTATCTTCACTTTACAAGTCCTCTTTCCCAGTTGAAGTTTTGCTTGAAAAAAAATCCCAGGGCAGGAGCCATTTCTAATATACCTGATGTGAAGGTAGTAGTGGACTCTAGGGGCTGTAGGTTGCTGCTTGGAATTTCGAGCTGTTCGAGATGCTTCTTGGCAATGATTGTGACATCGGCGCCTGTGTCCGGAAGCATCTGAAATCTTGATATCTGACCATAGGTGAGAAGAACGCATACAGGCTGTGGGGTCTTGCTGTGTGCTGATACGCACTGATAGTTCATATACTTTGGATGTGACGCCAGTCTTTTACAGTAATCCAACTTTCCAGAACGGCATACCTTGGCGAAGTGTCCCATCTTGTAACATGACATCCTTGGCAGGAAACCTAGCAGTCTGGGGCCAGTGTCCTCTG